TTTTTTTTTTTTTTTTTTTTTTTTTAAATCTCTGACTTCAAGGCAATTTGGCCCAACATTACCTGGGTTTTACAGTAGCTACAAGTTTGATGTTAGCACTAAATATGCAGTTCGTGGAAGCAATGATTGACTTTAAGCTCAGTATGTGCTTAAGTGCCATGGGGGTGGAAGGGAAATGGGGCTTTATGTACATAGTGTATTAACATTATTCTTAAAAGTCAGAGCTACCTGGTAAAGCCTCTCAACAATGCTATGGGAGCTCCCTCACCATTGATTGGCAAAAATTAAACCATTAAAATTGACCCGCAGCAGTCAAAGAGTCTGCCTTCAATAAGTTGTGCAATGAGGTAAATTATTGTGCCATGCATGATTATGCGCATTCAGCCCAATTTCATTGGATGTTTTCATAGTTCCTGCAACACGTATGATCTAACCAAGTCCTGCAATAATGCTGTTTGACCAGATCTAATCCAATAGAAAGATGTTCTTCTAAGAATATGATCGCATCCAAAAGCTTAGGCGGCAGACTTGTTGCAGCAGACTACTACTTCTGAGACCCCATGTTTTAAAGATCTACTAAACAGAGAGCTTTTGTTTTATCTAAGTGAATATTAAACTAAACTATAATTTTTTTTTTGCTAGAAATGACATCAAAAGTGGAAAAAGTTGATCAATATCATAGACTGTGAAAGATGCATCTTTGCTGCCTTCAAAAATTGATCAGATGAGTATCTCATTTGACAGGATCTGACAATCTTTGGATTCGGACATGCCTTGTTGCCTTCCTACCTCTGTATGCCACTTGTGGAGGCAGCATTTTTCAGCTTTCGGGCATGGGCCACATGGGATTGCAAGCAAAGCAGAACAAGTAGAATGTGGAAAGATTTTTCAAAACTACGAACAAAAAAGGCTGTCATGTGTAAAGGCCCCAATGAGAGCGGTGAGAAAACAGCAGTTAAGAAAGCATCTGATCATAGTGAAATGTTTGCACCAGCTCTGCAATTCAGCACTCCAGTCAAGCCATGTCATAATTATGTATGTAACATTTTATGCAATAGACTGCTTTTAAGCAAGCAGCTATACATTATTAAACAGGACGTGTCAGTGTCGCTTTCAGTTAGAATTACAACTTAATCTTCACCTATAAAGCTAGCTAATGTTAAACCTTTTTATTAGTGAATGCAGATTGTTTGGTTTGTGCAGATTAAAGCTTAATCTAGCTCAGGACAGTTTCGATTATAACACTATAAGATAGTTTTTCATACAGTTAATTAAATGGATAATGAAAATGTCATCTCATTTTGTGTACCAAATATTTTGATTTGTATAGTAAAAAAATAATTGTATAATAATTGTAGTTGTATAATAGTAATAATTGTTTGACATTTTCAAAAGTGATTACCTTGTTTTATTTATTAGTAAGAAAATATAACTTGATATTTTAACTAATAAAGTGAATAACTTTACTGTGCAATAAAAGCAGAATAATTAGTTAAAACCTACCAATTAATCAGTGAAATAATTGATAATTATTTGATAAATCATTCTAATAATCGTTAGATTAATTGATTATTAAAATAATAGTTTGTTTCAGCTTTATTGCTACATTTGCCACAATTAGTATAATTAAGGGACCCTTGGCCATTTACAAATACTAGTGCTGCTTTTTAAACATTTCTCCTACTTACATGGATTTACACAGAGACGATGTATTTCATTTTTCAATATAGGAGTATCCTGTATTATATGATGATGGGTGGCCAGGCAACTATACAGTATAAGCTTCATGAAAAACTCCTACTTTTGGTTGTTAGCCATTAAAACATTATTAATCACACAGACTACTATTATCTTTGAGTGGCCTATTAAAATTTTGGACTGCTTCCAATCTAGACTAACCAAACTTTATCCAACATTTCTTGGCCACCTCCGCTTGGGAAAATCGAATTCCAGATAATGCCTTTTGATAACACCATCATGATTAAATAACACCACCACCATTAAACACTGAAACAGAACAGAATTTCATTTCATTCTGAAATGTGTTTTTTCAAGATGTACGATAAGAGGGTGTTCATGTGCCTAATTTTCCTGGCACTTGAATTAGACAGTCATGGTGCTGATGAAAGATCTGAATTTGTGTGTTGGTGTGTAGGTGACAATCACCTGTAAGCTCAAGCGAAATCAGGATGGGATCAGATAAAAGAATTGGGGTGTGTAACACTCCCTGTCTCACCTGTGTCATTTCACCAAAATGTGGAATATGTAAGAATTGCCATGACATTGTGTTGTATCCTAGTATCTAATTTGGAAACAAATGACTTCTTGGAACATTTGGTTGCTAAATTGTTATTTATTTTCTTAACAAGGTTTTGTACTTCACTCGTGTCTGAATTTCCATGCAAAATAGCAACCTTTACACGTGCACAAAAACGATTGTACCTCATGTGTTACTCTGCCACGGTGGTGGTGATGACTGGTCACGTTGACTGGCACAGTTCTACAGTGGAGCCCACATCAATGCAGGCTCAGCAAAAGTGGGCATCAAGTGCACATAGCAAAGAAGGCACTCATTAGCACTCTTCTGAAACCTAAAAAGACAAATGGGGTAGTCTATGATCATGTGACCTTGGTGTGCATGTGTCCATGAATACACAAGAAATACACACACATCAAGTACATTATTTGGGACAGGGCCTGTCTGCATAACTTGAGATCAGACACTGGAATCACTTTTCTCCTCCTGAGGGGTGAAGTAACGGTTTGATCCAGAAAACATTTGGCACCATCTTGGTCTCTGTATCCATCTCTTTCTCTTTCACCCCTCTGTCTCTGACTATGTCTTTTTAAATAGTTAGAATCACAGATACTGGACATGATAATGATCATGCATTTTTCAGTGTCATGATAACAGATAACATATTGGAATATGAACAAGTCGAGGTATTTCTCTGTCATATTCTTCTTTTGTGTGACATGTTATTCATAATTGCACTTTTGTGCCCAGTATTTCACTGCAAAAAACTGTTATTCCACATAGTCTCATTGTTTATACGTACTGTAGGTATGTGTACATAACATTTATAGATAGAAAAACACACCTTTCTGTATGTTTGGGTTGATGCTGAAATGTACAATATGGACGTAGCATCCAAAACATAAGCAGTGTTACGTATTTAAAGCAATAGAAGCATTTTTTTTAAATGAAACATTTATATCGTAAGTACACTTATTGCTAAATTTGTAAAATTTTATAGATTTAACCTTCCTTAACTCTATCTCCAAACATAAACATACCCATTTTTCAACAATAAAAAAAAAAAAAAAACAGGAAGCAAATACATACAGTGACAATCATTTTTTTTAGTTACAATATACCAATACATCAGTGGCGAGTGGTGGCTTTTTCAATAGGATATGCTACATAATTGAATATAATACGACAAATAAGACTCCAAGGCCGGTGTTGATTTAAAATTAGAATAGCCATTAAGTGGCAGTGCCTTCCCAAATGCTTATGCATATGTTCACATTACACAAGCAAAATTTATCAAGCACGGGGAAAACAAATAGGAATATAGCTGCAAGCAGCGATTATCGGGGTTCAAGCGCTTTAAGGCATTTAAGCACATATGAAAAAAGACAATACATATTATTTATCAAGCCTGTAACCACCTAAATCAATAATAAAAAATAAAAAAAAGAAACATTTTTTTTGGGGGAAAATCCAGGTAATTTGCCAAAGAAATATGATGATTTTTTTAACGGTTATGACTGTTCTAGCACCAGCTGTGGTCCGATCTCCATAAAACATTGCTTGCTTGTTTAGAATCACCTGTCGCATATGCTAACCTAATTTTGTGAAGTTTTGCGGTTTCGTTTAGGCTTTATAGGCTTTTGGGTATATTTGGGTATATTTGGACAGGCCCCTTTTCTAAAGGACCCAGTTATAGCTACTATATAGCTATAGTAGGTATACTTTTTTTGATAATTATTGACATATAGAGTCCACAGAATTGTACTGCAGTGGTTTTTTGAAAAACCTAGGACTAATTTATATATTCTCAATTATTTAACAAACGATTTGATTGACAGCAGTGGCCCTAGAGGCAAAGTTTTTCGGAATGAGGAGGTCTGCCCTACGATACAAATATTGTGTGTCTGTGTCAAGAACCGCGCAATATACAATGGTTCATGCCCTTGAAAATGCAATATTGCCCCTCAGTGGCCAATTTCTTTCAAATTTCTCACAGACCTTTAGGACCATGAGTCAAACAGGCCCATTGAGTTTCGTTCTGATTGACCTCCATTAACCTTGTCTAATTGGTGCTCAAAATTCATTGGCCAATGGCGGACATGTTTTTTAAGATATGCAAATGTCATTATAGACACTTGTGGCAGTTTGGACCAAGACAGTGCATACCAATTTTCATGTTGATTGGACAAATGGTTACGTAGTTATAGCTATTTTTATGTTTTTCCCGCTTATACC